TATATATATATATATATATATANAATAATATATNTAGTATATACGTGCATATATATATACATATATATATATATATATATATATATATGTACATATATATATATGCACGTGCGTACACACATGCATAAATATATGCATCAATACATGCATCAAATACATGCAAAATACATGAACATTTGCATTGATACAAACGACCTAGCATGCGATGTTCGTTTGTGGTATATCTACATGTCATGCCGAAAATCATGCACAAACGTACCTGTGTATTGGTACGCCATTATGCGACATAATCTTGGGCAGATCCTTTTTCCTGCTACTAGGCGACGCGAACGACGATGGCTCTGGGGGTCGTTGCGGCTTTTTCAACTCCGAGGGGGGTATATTAGAGGCCTTTACATCCAGGTCTACTTTAGAGCCAAGTGCTGCAATACTGGGTGTTCTTTCAGACCTGTACGCCCTCCTGGTGCCTGCGTAAGGTGCTGGCTTGTACGGAGCAGGCTTAGAGGGTGGCCCCTGTTTAGTACCACTCGGATCACTCATGTCGCTGGAAAATTGGCTTAAATTCGTATTTCTCAGTATTTATATAGATATGTATGTATAGTATGTATGTCTAGCATGTATGTATGTATCTACTTGTTTATGGGTATGCAAGGTAGAGTGCAGCAGAAGCATTTGATAATTAGGTAGATTTATGCATGCAGACACCTTTAATGAATGTTTTGCGAGGTATATATTTAGAATTTTAGATGAGGATGATGGGATTTTGGTCGAATTTCACCGGCGAAAGCCGGAAAGTAGTACTATATTATTTTCTAATCAAACCTGAAATATGTACCACCCTTATCTTCTTCTCCTCTCTCTTTGTGAGTGTTCGAGTGTGGACAGTTCATAATAATACTCCAACTGATTTTGTCCAATTAAATCTCGCCAAATGGTATCTCTATCTCGTGTCGAATCATGTATGTATTCTTAATTTCGAATGGCCTATAACTTAAATGATGAGTTATCATTCGCGATCTATTAATAGAGTCATTCGATAAAAATAAAAAACCATTGTTTTATCATTATGATTGCTTGTAGGTCCCTCGATTGATTTTTTTTAGGCTGTGTAGTATGTATTCATGCTGAGACAGTGCATTTTGATATTGTTTTCTTCTAACAAAAAATTTAAAAATAGCGAGCTTTTGTTTTTGTTTTTTTAATTAAAAGAGAGCTAAAAACTAAAAAAGTTGTCCAACATAACGTTTATACATAATTAAAAATCGATTTACGCTCAACTTTTATATACCATATAGTCCATCTCATATATGACTGGGTTCTTTCATGAGGTTATAAATACCATGATCCCATTATGTCCTAGAAAGTTTGGCGCCAAAAATACCCAACAGTGACTGTTAATTTGAGCTATAAGGTCCACTTGGTTGTAAATAGGTTCATCGTGCAAGCGCAATTCCATAATTTTATCATCCATATTTGACCCCGAAACGTTATTCATAGCGTTTATTTAATATAAAAATTCGCGTTAACGTACCGTATTTAAAAAAATAATAATAGTACCTATCTTTTTTTTTAAATGTATTGAGAGAGCCTGTGAGAGAGAATAGACTCAATAGTGAGTTAGAGACGCAATCTGGAGAGAGAGAGAGACTCAGAGCGAGAGAGAGAATCTGAGAGTTTTTAAAATACGACTGTTTCTTTGCCCACATTACGACTATCATTACGACTATTGAGACTCCAACTACTCTACGTAAAATAAACTTTTTCAAAATCGTCCAAAAACCGGACGGACACCTATATTTCAATAAAAAACGGCTGGGACACCGCGGCGACTGAAAGCGTATATTCAAAGCGGTCTTGAAATACACACGCGTGTACACACTTACATCTCTCTTTTACTTTCACGTTCACGTTCACGCTCACACTCAACTTTGAGTCTTAGCGTTAGTCTCATTCAGACTCAAAATCCTTCTAACTGTAACCTCAGTCAATCAGAAGCTTTAATGTGTAACGATTTGATAATTATAAAACATATATATATATTTATATATATATATATATATACATACAGTAACAGCCCAATACACCTACTATATTGGATAGTGGATTTTTCACTAGTAAGGGTGACAGTAACAGTGACAGCCCTTGCACCTCCATCGCGTCTTATGATGCTTAAGCTGGTATGAAAGAACATGCACATGTATATACCTATGCATAGATGGTCTAGATAAGGTATATAGTCAAATTTACTAAAGTGTATACAAAATGATTATAAAGTACAACACATGCCAAAAAAGGATGTTCGGTACAAACAAAAATTCAGTCACTTTTTTAAAATACTATTTTTTTATTCGCGGTAAGCTAATTGGATATAAATAAATAGAGAGGCTTAGAAACGGGTTTGAAAAATTGTTCTAAAGTAGGTATTTTTCATGGTGGTATTTTTTTAAATAAATATGTATAAACACAAAAGTTGTTGATTCTCTCTCTTTCTACTAGCTAGAGAGAGAATAGTAGAGAGGAGGCTGTGCTAAAATGCAAACATCAATTTTACTGTATATAGATTTCGAATCTGAAGCCTTGTTCTGCAACTCAACATGAAAATGTCAATTTTTGAAAAAGTCCATTTTAGATCGATTTTATATTTTCAGATTTTCATTATAAAATGGGTACAACATCATTCTCAAAAATATTTGAGTTCCTTATATACTTTTTAAAAACGGCCATTATTTCCAACCGTCGATTTTTACGCCTACGGCAGCTTATTTACGTAAACATTGAAACTGCCAAAAATAGAAAGAGCAAAAATGAAACCGCGCCATTTCTCAAAACGCGCCATGTATCATTTTGTTCGTGCTGTTAACTGTTGAGATTTTTCGTTAAATTATCGTTAGAATATCTGTAAGTGCCACCCCATTTATCAGCCACAATGAGTGCAAACCCATCTCACGCGCCTAGATCCATGGATTCTCTTGTGGAGGAAGATGAGGTCACTGGGACTGAATCGCTGAAAATTCGTCTGATGTGGCTGATCAAAATAGCCATATATCTACATTTGACATTGTCATTGTGCACAATATTTCCATGCACGCTACTTTTCATAATTCGTATAGCAACGCGCCCTTTTTTCCACGAAAGAACGAATCATATTACTTAATGATCAACCATACATATCACCGATTCTATTTTTGAAAGAGTATTTTGTACAGTTTCAGAAGAAATTTTACGTGAATTCAAAGAAATGGCCATTCTTTTTTACCAAAAACAGCATTTGAAACTTATGTAAAAACGCGACTATAGAAGTTCAAAAAAGTGATTTTGGAAGTATGGACATTTTTCAAGTTTGAGATGCAAATCGATTTTTAGAGAAAATGCCCATTTTGAATTTTGAAAAATGCTCTTTTTTCAAAAATGAACATTTTCGTCGAAAATGGCCGTAATATTGAGTTGCAGAACAGGGCCTAAAAGTTTTCGGACGTGAGTCCGATCAGCCGTTATATTTAAAAATATTTACTAATCTAGTAGAGAGTAGTAGTAGAAGAGAGGGTCATGAAGTTTTTTTAAACATATGTAGAATGTGTGATAAAATTTTGGTGACTGTCTCACTTCTTGAGTTATTTTATTTTAAAATTGTTTATTTACACATAGATGAACCATTCTGCATTTAGGTCTCCTGAATCATACCATGATTTAAATAATAAAATACGTCGTCAATACTTCTTCTTATTGTGTAATTCTGGTCATGCTATAATCGTACGATCCGCTCAAGAAGACCTCAGGTGCTTGTGAACAAAAATAGAAACGCGTCAGCGTGTCAAATAACGAACAACGAAGTCCACTGAAGTACTCGAGTAGAATACACGAGCGCGCTAAATCTCACAGCTGCTGTGTATAAATACTGCTTTGCTGTACGTTGAGCTGAAGACTTTTCACCTACATATCAATATTTCTAGGTAGCCACAAGTAGTGCACTATCCACATATCACACACACACACCTACACACCAGAGTGACTTCTCATAGCCTATATAATTTATGTATCTAGACGTACTCAGTTTGTGCTACAGGAACGATGTGCTACGCAGAATCTGGTAGAAGCAAGCCAGATGCGGGATCGTCGTCTAAGAACGGCATGACAGGCTCTGCTGCTCGATTTGTTCAATCAATTGTCGACTCCATGTCTTGCGCACTGAACCGATGGATAGAGTATGTGACCTTTGTGCATGAATATAAAGTTCGTATTAGCACTTCGTTATTATATTAAAAGATGGGCACGCCTTTATGCATGTATACATGTTCACAGGTAACTATATTTCTATATGCACATTAGAGAATATGGACCGACTTTGTGGTTTTTGTACATAAATGGATATATGAAAATATTAGCATTTACGATATTGTATCGTAGAAAGAATATTTTATCTACTTGTGAATATTTACATGTTATATGTATAGTTAGTGTAGTATTTCTACTAAGTACACAAAATTGTGTGGCGCACTGAACAAATGGATTGAGTATGTGGGTTTGAGAGTGTTTTTATGACGTTCTCTGTCTAGCGTGAATAAGCTAGCATCTTTTATATTCGGTGTCTATACACAGAGATAGTCATTACTTGTTATATATTCAATAGAATGTATTTGCTTATTTGTACGACCGGTGCGGCGCATTGAACAGATGGATCGATTACGCGGACTCGAGTGAACTAATTCCTATGCCGTTTCTATGTTTAGCGCGAATACGGTTGTACCGTTAACGTTGCAATGATATACACAGGGATGGACATACACTTGTGTGTATCTACATATATCCAAACAAATTTATCTCGTTGTTACACGACTTACGTGACGCACTGAATAGGTGTATATAGTATGTGCTCTTTGAGTTTGATCTTATCATGTTGTCCCTATGTATAGTGCGAGTACGACTGTATCATTTAATTACATTTCGATGTTTTAAGCACAGGGATAGGGTGTGGGCTTTATATGTATGTACTTGTATTTCTAGGAAGAGCTTTTCTCGGTATATACACAACTTGTTGGTGCACTGAACAGGTGGATGGAGTATATGAATTTTTAGTGTGTTCGTAACCTGATTTCTTTATTTCTAACTTGAATATTATTGCACTGTGTGTGCATGGTGCGTGAAGTGAGCAAGATCACCGCTCTGTGTTGCGTTCAGTACTATGATATGCATAGAAGATTCGCATACACCACATACATTCTGAACTTGAATTCTAATGTATCCTATTTTGCATTCATGCTTTATATCACTATACTACTATTCTTATGATCTTTTATCGGGATAAACTGCTTGGCCCAGTTCACACTTCATTTGAAACACGCATCACTTTACCATTTTTCGAGTAGGAGTTTGGCCTACGAGCTACGGTGACCTTCTGTCAGAATCCCACTTATACGGACACCTTCAGCAACATATCCAACAACCGCTTACGAGACGATCACACTGGCTCTCTTCCCGGATGACTTTCGCGTGTCTGGTTTTGACGGCTATGTCTCATAGCCATTAATGCTTACCAATATAGTAGATGAACTTCCCAATTCCTGCTTGTACGTGACGTAGATTCCTAATGCATACACGACATCACTCCCCATTGCATCTATCAAATTACAGGTACATGCTAACGTACCATAGGTCTATCTTTGCTTGTCTGGTGCTGCTGCCAATGTCGCTTGTGTACGATGCGGTCTCCTATGTGCGCAGCTCCATTGTGTTTAAGATGAAGTCTGCGCCCGCCCATCACGCAGGTTCGTGATTTAGGTTTTAAGTTCTACACTCGGTTTTCAGGTATCATACGAATGATATACACACGACACTGATTTAGTAATACACGCCACAGTCTGGAATAGGCTCGCCTACCGTTCCGTATTATATTCGAGATAAAGTTGCGTCCGGTCGTTACGCATGTTCGTGACTCGCATGTTAGAGTGTATACCCAATTTTTTGATGGCATATATACACTAGATATACTTGTGATGCTGGATTAGTAATATGCGTTACATTCGTCAGTATGCTCGTGTCGTGTACGATGTCGTGGTTTTTGTTGTTGTTTATTTTTATGGTGAAGTTTGAACCGGTCACCACGCAGGCACCTGTCACCCCCATGAAGCGACATTGTATGAGCCGTCTGTGAGCCATCAATGTGGATGTAGGTGTTTTGATGGTCTATAGATATGCTGTGATAGTGGATTTAAGCGGTGTACGAGTGGATTTTTGTGCCAAGGTGTTGGCGGTGAACCATACGGAGGTCTGGAGGGTAAGAAGGGATGGCAACCAATAACCTGGGATATTTTCAGGCTATGATATTGATTCGATCATATATGCGATACATTGTTGCTCTGCACAGATGCGCCATTCGGATGTTGCGTTTCAAGGAGAACGTGAAATAGTAAATTTACCATTTGATTTGGCAATATGTACAGGAAAACTAATTCTGCAATGCGTTCGTATCCCCTTCCATTTCATTTCATTTGCCCTGTCTTTCTTGTACAATTGGGTAGCTCGTGTGGCCCATGTACAGAAACAAGTTAAAGACTGGAACGCTGACGGTCGCAGGCGCCCAATGTGTACCGCCAGGTTAGTAACAGAGTATGGGTGTTCATTGTTTAGATGCGGTCGATCTGAAAATTTTAGATATGGCATATATATATATCATGTATATCTACATCTATATCTATATGCGTATGTATGTATATATGCATATACATATATATACTGTATATCCACGTAGGCTGTGCGTGCATTCATCAGACTTTTTGGCCTTGTTTTGACCTATTATACCGTTTTCTGTGGCAGTACTTTGGGCACGACAAGATGTTCGAGTCCATTAGCACGTTTTATTGTACCGAAGTTCAAGCTGCCGACACTGTGATGTATTGTGCTCTAATAAAGCAAGTACATTTGTCTACGCGATATATCTCATAGTGCACTACAAATGGCCTGCTATCCATGATAACCACGCCTTCTGAAGCAATGTCTTTTGTTTGCGATTCGAATATTCATACCAGAGCTGGATGGAAAACGATCTCTCTGAGGATTGGCACATACAAGGAGACCATGAGCAACATCAACGTGGACCTTTACGATGTGCTCGAAGTGGATCAGAAGGCGCGGACGGTGAGAGGTACTTTGCGCAGAGTGCGGATAATACCACGCATCGCGACTTATGTGTTTGATAGAGGATTGTTAGCGTCTCAGCCGCTGTGACTTCCACCCTAAGTTGCGCAACCCATAGTCACAACTGTGTACACGACAATGGCTTACTTATGCAATTCCAATGCATACAACGATGGCGAATATTATGTGTTGCGTCCTCTATCGAGTAAAGCTTGTGATGACTTTATTTGGGCGTATATGTTGGCTGTTGCGGCATACCTTATTAATCTGTCAACGGTCTTGGTTAGTATCATTCAGCATTCTACGTACTCATCCCAAACAAATGCATATCTATACTACCAGTTGAACCGCTAGCCACCATGGGCCAAATCACGTCACTGATCCTTCCCACTGGCTGGACTCTAGCCCTCACGCCCGAATTGGACGATCTCACAGTATGCTATTAATCATTGTGTAGTGAAGGGGAAAGTAGACCTTTGTTCTCCATACATACACCCCGAGGAAAAACACTGTTTGTTGCAGGGATTCTAGGGTGATAGACACCTTGTTAATTTAGTTGTGATGCATTTTGAGTGACAAGTGTGTACGTGTGAGCTCTTGGTCAAAACGACCTTTCTAAACTAGGTTCAAAGTGTGCTAATGATGCAATTTGAGAACGAGAATGTCGGACCTGCTGGTTTTATTGTAAGAATTTGGTCTGTGTCTATGGAAACCACCTTGAGCCGTGCGTGTACACGTATTTTAATATATCTTGTATTCGCACACATACCTATTCTTGTCATTTGTTCGGATTCGGCACATACAGGTAGGAGGGCTCATTGCTGGCTTTGGGGTGGAAACTTCATCACACAAGCACGGCCTCTTTCAACACATTGTGAAGAGCATTGAACTGGTTACTGCAGGTAATTGACCAATGAACAAGTGGTGTGTACTACTTTGGAACTGTGAGAACCACCGTTGTCCATGAAGTGTGGTGTGTATCTTTATTAGACTGTGAGAAGAACAGTGTTTGCGATAACACCCGTGTATAAGTGCATATGCATATCTGTATTGCGTACATACTTCCAATATACTTTGTTGACGGACTACTGACTATACAGTAGGGTGTGTTGTCGGCAACGTATTTATATACTGTATTGATACGCACAACTCATTGTGAGCAATTGCGTGCATATAGTCTCGCTTTTGCGTACCCATTATTGACATGCATGTAGCAAGATACTTGTACACGACCATATGCCCCCACTATCCATATATATATATGTGTGTGTGTGTGTGGGCTCGGTTTTTTGTGAGTATTTGTGTATGTGTGTACTAAATACATCATACATACACATTTACACATTCACATGCACGCAGATGGAGAAGTGGTGAATTGCAGTGCGACCGAGAACCCGGAGCTATTCTACAGCATTCCGTGGTCGTACGGTACACTCGGTTTCATCGTGTCTGCCCAGTTGAAACTTGTGCCTACGAAGAAATACGCACACATCACGTACACACCATGCCACACGTAAGTCAGTACGTTTTTGTCAAAGTATACTGTTTGTACCACGAGTCAAACGCCTACCAAAAAACACGCGCAATTCGCATACACACCATACCACTCGTAATTCGAAACCCTTTTTGCCAAACTATATGTGTTTTTTTGCCATTCGTTAACCACCTATTAAGAAATATGCACTCTTTGCATACTCACCGTGTCACGCAAGTCGGTACGGTGTCTCCAAACCCTACTACATTTTTTGTCATGCGTTGACCAGACCGGACTCGCAAGAATTATTGTGCACGTTTCACGCCCCTCGTCACAAATACGTATCCACCATGCAAAACGTAAGTCAACACGCCCACCATGGTAAACATAGGCCAGAGCGTGCATCAGGTTAGTGATCACTTGTGCACTGTTCTAGGCGTCAGCCTCACTGGACACCCAACCACACGATAGTTCATGAATGTCGCACTGGTTCGAAGGAATTCACGTATATCCAACATGACTGCATGCATGCTACGGCGCATGTGAGACCTTTAATCACCACACATATACTGTATGCATGTATATACATACAAAGTTAATCTTTAATCACCACGCATATACTGAATCTTTACTCATCGTGTGCTGTGCATTTACAGTGATATAGCACTTTGTGCGTCGATTCACCTTCGCCATGGCATACTTTAGTCGTCACACAGACGCTATGACAAATGCGAAACCCATTTTATACACCCTTTATGTACCGTAGATTTGATTACTACTACCATTACACGCGTACGCTGTGATGTACATAGTAGTACGTGTGTATGTAAGTACATCCACGCCTTGGAACAATAAGTTCTTGTGGGTTGCACCAATTCACAGACTTATTATATATTTAGAATGTATGGGTTCGCAATTGCTTTTCGGGTCACACATATATTGTCGTGCATAGATCATACCACACGTAGGTCGCTAGATTATCAAAACATGCGCCACTTAAAGTATGTGTGTATACTCCTTTTGTGCAGCAATTGCTTTCACTATTGGCTTTCCGCACCTAACACGTTGTACAAAAGTATACCACACGTACGCCAGTACATACGCACCATGGAACGCATCAGGTACCACGCAGATACTCTATCACGAGCTGCCGTCACATATGCACATGTTTATGAGCGAGTACACCGAGCTATAAGCAGACATTGCTTGTGTTCGTGCTGTAGGGCGAGTTCGTTAATCCACACTATACAGTACATGCTACATGAGAGGTGCGCCCGGTTCTAGATTCTTACGACGCTGTCGTCACGTATACACTTTGGTGTATGCAGAGTGAGATTGTATTAGACTCCCTATGCCTACCTAGAGGGAAAAGTCTTTATATCTTGCCTGTTTTATTACTAATGTATTGCTACTATGTACCATAGCCAAGATTGTACAACGCATGTTTGAAATCCACATTAGTCGAAACAACTTAAATGCCATACCTAAATCCGTACACGTCCACATCCCACCAAATGATACACACGGTACAACTCCTATATGCTTGTCTGATTACGCTCGCCGGTTCGGACACCCTCGCAACTACACTCAGGCAACAAGACTACACAAAGATTTTCGAAGCGGCAGCGAGAAACATGGACAATGACTTTGTTGAATGTCTTGTCTACTCACAAAACGAGGCAGTGGTCATGACTGGCGTGATGACTGACCATGTGGTGCAAGCCAAGCGCAATGCAATCGGTAAGTTCAGACCGGAAGTGTTGGGCCTGAAGTTGGTTGTAGTATGTATATGACCTGTACACAATTCACATTATACTACCACATATGGTTTGAGTTTCGAGTTTCTGTTAAAATTGGGGTGTGTACTTTTGTGTCTCGGTTTTGTCATGTATAGGGTAGTTGCGCAAAGCACCAAGCAGTAACCACTCGCTATGAGTGGCGGCTCATGATACGATCAGTATAAAAGCTTAAGTTTGTAGTTTCATACATTTGCACACCTGTATGTACATGTATCTATATATACATACATACATGTTCAGATATATACTTATGTTCATGTATATGTATTTATGTATATATATATGCATTTATGTATATATATATATATATATTGACGCAGAGTCAAAATTTAACATTGGTTATACTTGCACCTTACCACAGGTAACTATTATAAGCCTTGGTTCTACAAGCATGTCGAGCAGTTCCTCACCATAGGACCTTCAAACGAGTACATCCCGCTACGAGACTACTACCACCGCCATTCTCGCTCGATATTCTGGGAATTATCGGTATTGTATTGACGAGTATATATATGTATAGAGTTATGCATGCACGATGCTGACCAGGGTATTTATGGACACGGGGTTGGGTGCATCTTGTGTGTGGGTACGTATGTGCATACACAAACACCCACCCACAGATTTATACGAAGGGTTTCTCACTCGTGCACCAATATGGCTCGTCTGTCTATGTATGTCTGCGGTGATTTGCATGTGTATCTACCCATATATCTATAGGTGTATATTTACATATATAGATATATATATATGTGTGTGTGTGTGTGTGCATGTCCGATTGTGTGCCATTTTTTCAGCTGTGCAGGCAGCGTACCACAGAGATTCTTGTTGTACTCGTCCGCAGAATATCACGTCTATCTCTGTCCTAATCCAGCATCCGGTTCACTACCCCATACAGGATATCATTCCGTTCGGCAATGAACCCATATTCCGCTACCTGTTCGGTTGGGCGGTGCCTCCCAAAGTGTCGCTTCTGAAACTCACCCAGATAGAAGCCACCCGCAAGCTCTACGAGTTACATCATGTTGTGCAGGTATGGTATGATCCTGGTCTATGCTTGTGCACTTTGCACATGACGTAGTCTTACTTCGAGGATGAATAGTGGAAAGTGTCTTTTAGTGTGCTATGGAGCGTATCTATGTCTTGGTGGACGGATGTGATGCTCAATTGATTGTGATCAAATCTCCCCTTTTACCTGCACAATAAAGGACATGCTGGTGCCCATCAGCACCACTGCCGAGTCCGTGTATTTGCCCCTTGACGAATGTGCTGATACATTCATTTGTATGGGCATGTGATACTGAACCATAGTACACAATCAGATCATATTTACCCATCGATACCACTGCCAAGTCCGTGTATATGCCCATTGACGAATGTGCTGATACATTCATTTGTATGTGCATGTGATACTGAACCATAGTACACAATCAGATCATATTTGCCCATCGACACCACTGCCGAGTCCGTGTATATGCCCATTGACGAATGTGCTGATACATTCATTAGTATGTGCATGTGATACTGAACCATAGTACACAATCAGGTCATATTTGCCCATCGACACCACTGCCGAGTCCGTGAATATATTCCATGACGAGTGCGATGACGCATATCTGAAGTATTACATACCCTGACCTTTCGCCTACACAATCAGGACATGCTGGTGCCCATCAGCTCCACTGCCGAGTGCGTGAATATATTCCATGACGAGTTCGATCTATATCCGCTCTGGCTGTGCCCGATGCAGCTACCAAGCGCTTCCCACGCCAAGTACGGCGGGTTCTTAAAGCCTGCGATCGTTGATGGCAAGCCCGAGGAGATGTTTGTCGACATTGGCGCGTATGGAAATCCCGCTAATAAAGGGTATGTGTCGGCTTTTATGGGATATGGCTGATATGCTTTGTTGTATGACCATGTGTTTCGTAGACTGTGTTAGACATTCGAGCCAGGTGTGGCAATGGTATAGTGAGTAGCTAGCGTTTAGTACTACAGATGACTTGGTAGTTTGGCCATTGCTATCCGCATTGTATGTGTATGATAGCCGGTCCTGTCAACCCAATTTGCACTCGTTTGGCTATCCTGACTATAGCCCTGTGACTCTGTTTGTGTTGCCGCTGATTCTGATGCAGACATCCATATTCGGGTTACTGTGATGTTCGTGCAAAGCATGTCCGTTGTACACACGCACACGTCTATATATTTATATATGTATATGATGTGCATACGTCTATATATATATGTATATGATGTACACATGTCTATATAATTGTATATGATGTGCACACGTCTGTATATTATTTATTTTTATATATTTATATATATATATATATATGATGTGGACACGTACACGTCTGTAAATGTATATTATGACACTGACACTATTTATTTCATTGTATATCGTGCCACCTTCAGCTTCGTAGCCGCCGAGTCGATGAAACGTGTGGAAGCACATGTGCGCCGTCTTCAAGGTTTCCAAGCACTCTATGCCGATTGTTACATGACTGAGCAAGAGTTTGAGCAGATGTTTGACCACACCACATATAAAAAGCTGCGGAAGCAGGTAGGTACTAGTGCGTGTAAGGTGTTCCTCTTTTTTTTTCTTCCGAAGTTTTACTGATATGTGATATGTGTGTTGACATTTGCTGCTTTGGATCTCAATGTCTATTTATGGCCCGGCGGACCAGCTCACGCAATTGTACGTTACATGCACCCGACCAGCGACACAGTCTGTGACCCACAGACCGTGTTTAGACAATCCTTACTATCCCTTGTGGTTGTAATCTTAAGCGTCGAACTTGTCATCGATTTCCAAGGATGATATACATCTGTTTGTTTTTCTCCCAATGTCTAGTGTGTGCACTGAACATGCTATAATCTATCTGCATACCAACCGGAATAGTATCGCTGCGAGGACGCTTTCCCAACAGTCTACGGCAAAATCAACCGAAGCGCGCGGAAATGAAGTGGAAAGAACCGGTGCTCGTCCGTATATACCCCTTCTGTGTATTTGGCGGTTACGTCGTTGTTGCTGTACTTTCATTGCTCTGCGGTGTTTGCGATTGACGAGCAGTAGTCGAGAGCGGTGAAGTCTTTTGGTCGCTCTTGGCCCCAATATCTTATTAAATAGTATCACATAATAGAATTGATTGCGGTTTCCTACTTCCACCTTCATCCAAATGGTCTGCGATGTGTGTTGCAGTAGATTAATTGGTAGTTTGTATTGTAGACAGTTGCTATTTGACTAGTTTCTCTGAGGCCGAGATAGTAACAGTCTAGCATAAACGGCGACAAGCGACTGCAATTTTTTGTCAGAATGTGAATACAAACATGGAATGGTATTGATGGCTGATATATTCTTTCGGGTTCGGTTGTATATTGCAGATATGCCCTCATACGCTTCTATTTTCAAAGTTCGGATCAGAACGCAAGTGACGTTCTCTGGTAATTCTCTCAGCATATATATATATATATATATATTATTAATTATATATATATATATATTATATTAATTATATATATATCAATTATATATATATACATATATATATACATATATATATACATATATACATACACACATATTTATATATTTATGTATATATATATACATATATATATATATTTATTATTCATTAATTATTTATTATTATGTATATTATATTTATACTATATATATATATATGTGTGTGTATGGATGTATGTATATTTATATGTATGTATGTATAAATATATATATATATATATGTATATTGTGACTGAGTGAGTGATCCTTATGCGATAGTTAGACTTTTAAAACAGATTCGTTTTCTGAATATTATGTCGTAGCGTGTGGCAGTTCCCTTGCCACACACTCACTCATTATATTTATATTTGTATATATATATATATATATGTGTGTGTGTATATATGTATATATATATGTATATATATATATATATATATGTATGTATATATATATATATATATAAATAATTTGTCTTGAGCCCGAGTTTTCACGGCTAAAAGTCTGACATCAAACAACCTCCATGACTACACAATTATGATGACTCATCAACTGTATCCAAGTTCTGAATCCCTGATTCCCAGAAGAAAAGTATCTCAACTCTAGGTTCAGCCTCACAGTCTACGACGACTCCCCGCTAAGCTAGCCATTGCTTGCCCTATAATGTTGTAATCATAACTCAATTGCGGCTGAACCATTCACAATATGTAGATATTTACAAACAAGCGATGCTTACATCTCCACCCCATCTTGGTGGATGGAGTTATTCATCCCTCACCCCAATGGTCTGAAGATTTTAAAACTGACTACGGCAGACACTTATGTCTATCGACTCGCCGGCAAACCAGAACCGTTCACTGCTATTTGCAGCCCACCCCAAGCCTGCGAGCGTTGTTTCTGATAAAACGCTGACTGCGCAAAAGCAAAGCCATTCAATACATGTGACTTGAACGCGTCGCACCGCTTCTTCATGGGAAGCACCCGTTTCAACGAATACAGATAATTCGAGTGCAAGATCTTCTTCGAACCCGATTCTTTCACCAGTGGTGAGTGACAAAACAATTTTGTCTCATCACACCACATCTGCCAACAGCGATCCCAAGGCGAGCTTAGTGTACGCTTTTTTCTTGCGTCGCATATAACCATCAGAGTTTTCCGTCAATGGCGAACGGTACATCAACCAGTCTTCATACGGCCCTTGCGGACGTTCTCGCACCGCAGACTGTATCTCTACTTCTATTGTTTGCTTACCATTCGGCTTTTACTCTGTACGCAAAGGAATCTGCGTCGAGATCCATCCGGCATCTCAACCACGTGTGTGATGGGTGCCTGCATAGATACCGCCCGCGCAGGACCACTCCGGCACGAGGGCAAATCGTGCGACTTACCGCGTAAACGGTACCATACCCCTTCGAGCCTACCGACAACAGACAACACTCTCTCGCTTGATATTGGCTCGCGTTTGCTGTTCCAACTGAGCACGCATATCTCGTACGCCGGGCTTTATTTCCAGAAAGGATATAACCTTATCCTGTAACCCACAGAATCACGTCACCGAGCTACACGTAGCATTGTATACACGCACCATCTTGTATATTAAATGCGACCAGGCGTGAGGCGATTCATCGTTAGCCTCGATTTTCCTACGCAGCCAATCCCTCATCGCACGGACCAACGTCTCTGATCTGCCATTGCTCTGGTAGATACTAACAATCACCTAATATGAACCAATAACTCGTCTCACATAACGTTTTGACATTCCTATTCTGGAATTTCTTGTCTGCATTCATAGCAAACCAAGTTGGCGATCCTCACGCCAGGATTTGCTCTTCCAAAACACCCAGACCACTCCTGGCTCATCCGTCAAAGCAGTGCGTACCCGTGCACATATCGTACGAATTTGCGTGTACTCTGCCAACATCACCTTCGGCTGGTCGTTGACTTTGTCTAAGCCCTTGAAATCCATACCTACCTCACGTCTAGCTTTCTCGAGAGGTATATGTTTGCTGTAACGACCCCTTGGCTAAATTAACATCGTCATTGACAAACCCTAGCACTCCAAAACCAGGGAATGTATATATAAATTTCAGCAACAGTAAGTGAAAACTATCAAAACAAATACTACAAGCTGAGAGCAAGGATATAAGTCTTAGAGCACGATCAAATAGTTGTAGTGGTAGTGGTCTGGTAGTGGTAATGGTAGTCTACGACAGACGTATGCTGTAGATGAGGATGCCAATAACCACGGCAGCGAGACTGAATATAAGAAAGAAAGCAATGTTGAGGCAGCAGTTTCTAAACATAGTGAAAGCAGATCGGCACTTTCAAATTCTAGTTTTGTAGCTCCTACACCAACAAGACAAACAAACAATATTAGAACACTTTCAACAAATGATAGCCTAATTCAACGGACATAACAACACTGTCAGTTCCACAAGATATCGGAATTAATTCATGTGCATACGGTCTAGAACTAACACTGTCACAACATAGCGGAATTAACTTTTGTGCTCACGGTCTGGTCCTAACCGATAGGGACCCGACATAAACGACAAGAAGAGCCAGAGTAGGGGAGAAACATAAAGGGAGTAGTTATTTTCTACAATTCGTAGTCATGGCGTAAAGTAGTAGTGGTGGTCGTCGTGATATAAATAGTGGAAGTACTAGATATACTGATGGCGTCGTTGAACTATAACCCCTGCTCAAGAGATGACGACCAGATACTTGCCGATCCCAAATTGAAGACAGCGAGGACAAGGAAGGCACGGTTTTGCTCAAAAAATGGTATAACCGTCTTGATAACAAACGCAAATGAATCGAGAAACTTGGACGTGTCAAATGGCGACCATTGAGAGCAGAATACCCAACATACACGCTGCAATATAAGACAAGACCAGGCAGAAGTATTCACACAGGGTTGTCCAGGACAAATCAATGGGTGCGATGAATTGGGTGCAATCTATCTTAATACACCGACCCGGACAACTACGGAACGTGAAAGTGGGAGGACATCTATTCAGAGAGTTATCTGTCTTCTCGACATGGGGAATAGTCAGAGCCGACTTTATACTCACTATATATATGTTATTAATCGCGGCATCCGAATAGATAGAGATACCTTTAATGTTCAGTTGAATATGCTGACACGAAGACCATCACGGCTCACTGGTTTGTCACACTACTACACAGGATTTTGTTCAGTGTTAGAAAGCGTACACGAAATGCTTAATAGATGCACTGATCGAATCGAAAGTATAGAGTGAGAACAAGTCGAAGTGTAAGACTTTGAAGGACGGTCTTAATACTCTGATATTGTGATTGAATACCAGTACAGAACATGTCAAATATACACTCGCTAATCACCAAGAGGAAGAGAGCGAATGCATACATCACTGCATGGCATATCAAATACTCAGAGAGTGCACATGGCGGGGGCATTAACACACAAAATCATGTGTAGTATGCGGACTGTCCTACGACTATCCAACCAATATCGTTATTACTTTTTCAAGCTACAAAATTAGCGACGAGATATACTAGCGGTCTTTCGGCAAACTTAAAAAATGGACTACCCGACAAACCTTTTACATTGCTCGTAAGTGTACATCACAAACAAGAGGTGTGTATCACTTGTTTCTACAGTACTTCCACTTCCACTTTTATTTCCACTACTATTTTATCACTTGTAGTGATAATCTCATACTACCCATCCCACTCCTACTCGAAAGCTCTTCCTATGAAATTGGTTGAAGGTCAAAGTGAATACTTGTTAGAGTGCGATGTAGTAGACTTCAAATAAAGTGCAAATGTATCTAAAGAATGGTGCGTTCGCCTGACTTTATTTATGATCTCACCAGATATATACTGATGGAGTTTGTACTAGTGTTCAACCACTTGGGTTGGCCAGGGTAAAAACTCATATAATCAGTATGAGCAGAACACTACTCTGATATATTTTCTAGAAATAAATATATCACATTCTCTGTAACGTACACTCAGTCTCGGACCTCGGCTTTCGTGTCCTATAAATAGAATAATCTGAGAAGAAGTTTACAAGAACCAACCCAAAAAAAAACATAAACCTGAGTCTATCGACTAAAACCATAAACCCTCCACATAAACCCAGGGATCAAGGAGAACGACAATTTGTGCTATTCAATCCCATAGAAAAGCATCTAACTTCCACACAGACACCAAAACGAAGGCCAGCATAAAGGTGAACAACCAGACTTAAAGTGAACAACCAGACTTAAGGTGAATATCTCTTTTACGTTAGTGAATCAGACAGTCTACGAATTATCATACTACAACGAAAACTTAACACATAGACCAGTCAATGAATTCTGCTCCTTATCAAAGGCCACGACCAGCACAGAGGAGTCTATGCACACATGTAAGCTCTAGCCGTACACACCACCAGAGTAGATACGAATCGTATAGTCATAGCTCGTGCTATCTAAGCTCGAACAATGCCAGCATCACAAGCTACATCGAACAACTCTACTCTAAGCAACGTAAAAGGTGGGATGCAGTTGGACTACTTTCAGACCCAGCAATGAGTAAGCTCAAAGTGTTGACCGACAAGAAAACATACGATGGCAACGCGTGCGTAGTGGGCATATTAGTGGATTAACTGTATG